TAGTTGTAGGATTTTGGTGAGCAATTCCACCTTAAACCTATTAAATTTTATGAATTTACAAATGACAATCATATCCACCTAGCCAATCCCCTACTTTGTCTTTCCAGATTGAAGTATTATTATTATCATTACTTTAGCATACCCTGACTGAGAAGTCCCTCCATTGCTTTGACTAAGTTGTCCTTCTTTGGACTTTTAGTACCATTATGTCCTTCATGAATTACAACAACCAGAATGAGCACAGAATATCCTTTGTTGGCACCCAATGGTTTCTAATAAAGATTTTCCATTTGATTTTCAGTTTCTTTTCTAATAAAAATTTTTGGCTTTTTTTGTCACTGGAGAAGTACCTTGGACTGATGTCTTCTGGGAACAATCTAAGAGCTAGTAAGGATAACAGCCGGCATTATATAGTACTTTGAGGTTTATAAAGCCATCTATAGTATGTGGCATTTTCACATATTTTCTACATTACCTATGGTGACTGATCATAAATGATAACCTCTCATCTTATAACTATAGTTTGTATTATATGCATTTTAACTATGCCTGGTCACAGGCAGTTAGGTGGTGGGGTGAATAGAGTGCTGGGCCTGAAGTTAAGAAAACCCAATGGCTTCCTGAGTTCAAATCCAACCCCAGACACTTAATAGCTGTGTGACCCTGTGTAAGTCACTTAACCCTGTTTGCCTCAGTTTTCTCATCTGTAAAATGAGCTAGAGAAGGAAACGACAAACCACGCTAGTAACTTCGCCAAGAAAACCCCAAATGGGGTCATGAAAAGTCAAACACGATTGAACAATGACTGAAATACCTGGTCATACTGAACTTTACCTGCTACTTCTCTATCTACTCCACTAGAACATAAGCCCCTTAAAAATACAAAGTGTTCCATTCTTTGTCTCTGTATCTCTCGGGCCTATCAGAGTTTCTGAAATATAGTAGGTACTTAATAAATGCATGGTGACTTATTTGATTGATTGATTCCTATTCACACTATATCAGAAGACTTTTATGAGATTTTTCCACTACTGGGTTGACAGGAGAGCCCCAAAAGTCTAGTGTTGCATATGTATTTAAGGATTTCTGATGAACATCTTCCAGATAATTTGTTAAAATGCCAAATAATACTGGTTCTTGCTCTAATCTCTCAATAACTATATAATTTACAGCACTCTGTAGGGGAAAGTGTCTGCTTTTTGATAATGTCTTTTATTTTTTCTTCAGTAAAAAAAGCATTTCACCAAATCACAAAATAATGCAATATTCCGAAATAACCTTTGGTATAGAATCCTTTTAAAAGCTTTTTGAGGGTCTAAATGACTATCAGAGAAGGCAAACCTACAATAATACAAATGTACTTAATTATGAGAATGTTTTGATCATCCTCAGAAATAAACTGGAATACTAGAATAAAGAAAGGTAAAGAATGTTAGATCTAGAAGGGACCTTATAAATAGTCTAAACCAATACTCTTATTTTACAAGTGAGGAATTGAAGTCTACAGATGGGAAGTGACTTTACCAAGATCACACAGTGAGCTAATGACAAAGCCAGCAGGAGACCCTGGTTCTTTCAATTTCCACTCCAATGTACTACTTTCATTGTATGCTGTCACATTCTTCACTGATACGCTTTGAAGCATAAGTTAACCTTGAAATCTCATGACAAGTGCTTCTGTGAATAACTTTTAAAAGTAGGATTTCAACTTTCATGGATCATTTTTTTTTAAACACGGCTTGCATCATCTTAACCAAGTGAAGTAACCCAAACTTGATTTTTTGGTTTCACTGTAATTCATTTTAAACTTAAAATGAAATAAATGCTCATTAAAAATATAATAAACAGATCAAACACTGAGAGTTCCCCTAGAATAATCTCTGTTAATGAAAATGTGGCAGTAAGTAGCCATCATCTTGCTTTATTATGCCACATGTGAGACCAATAATGCAACACAGACATCCACCCCATGGAGCCAGAATCGCAGGCATGTGCCTGTTTTTATTGTCCAATTAATTACAGAGACTTCTTTCTCTGTTTCTGCTGAGTAGAGGTTTTCTACCCAGTGACCAGAATGAGCTGTAATCTTGGAGAGAAAGCCAAGAGAAAAATGGCCTATAGGGTAGAAGAAATCATTCATCTGCCCTAATCTCCATGTCTGCAGTGAAAATGAGACTCCAAAAAAGTAAGCATTTTTGAAGGAAGAAGACACAGTCTAGGAGTTTGCAATGCACACTGGATTCATGTCATCCTTTCCTCTCCTTTAAATGAGGATAAATTGGTATTTTCCTAAATGTGCAGCAGAATGTTAGGAAATCCTTTCTAAATGTTAAAGGCTTTACATTGGTCTCACATTGAGAAACTTAAACAAAAAAAACCCCAAAACTTTTTTAGTAACTTGTGAGCTTTAATGACTATCAAAAATAGGCCCTTGTCTTCCTGTGCCTGGTATAATTCTTCTAATGAGCAGGATACTCTGCCACTCCATATTATAAAATGGGAATGGTGCAGGCTCTGTGTCTGCCATGGATTCCCAGGAGCATCGATGGGCCAATATTTTCAAGCATCCTGAACTTTGAAGACATGCTTGGAACACTGCAGTTCAGCTTAGTCTGCTCTCTGGAGACTCTTTACCATCTGATTGCTTACCTGGCAGAATGTTGAGAGCATGGGGAAATACCTCACCACTACCTATGTCAATGAAGAGTTAACATGAACTTATAAGAACAGTTTTAGAACACTTGTAATCTGGGAGCTACAAAGCCAGATACGTAGAAGGGGGAAAACACCCCATTACAACTAGATATTTTTAAAAGGAATTTAATATTAACTTGATTCTCCACTTTGCACCAAACAACTTTCAAATTTGAGTTTGGAATCCTTCTAGGTAATGGGCTCTCAAATCATAGTTTCCCAGGGAGGAACTGATGTCGGGAACATTTACTTCTGAAGCCATGGTGTCCTTGACAGACCCTTAACTTTGGGTCCATGAGTTTGTGTTTTTGAAGACATTTTGATAACTATTTCAATTAAATTGGTTTCCTTTGTAATCTTGTGTATTTTATTCTGTGTATTTAAAACTATCATTCTGAGAAAGGGTCTATAACCTGCCATAAGAGGTAAAGTTTCCATAGCCTGACAGGCAGGTCAAAAAAGAATTAACAATTAAGAAGAATTTAAAATCAAACTAAGAATCTGTGCTCCATGTGGAAACCATTTTCTGTGGTTTATTAGAACTGAGCCAACTAAAGGTGTTACAGCGATTAGAGTGCTGGACCTGGAGTCAGGAAGACATGTTTGTGAGTTCAAATCCAGCCTCAGATACTTCCTAGCTGTGTGACCCTGAGCTAGTCACTTAACCCTGTTTACTTCAGTTTCCTCATGTGTAAAATGAGCTGGAGAAGGAAAGGGCAAATCACTCCAGTATCTTTGTCAAGAAAACCCCAAATGGGGTCATGAAGAGTCAGACACAACTGAAAAATGATCTAACTACAACAAAAACAATTAATGTTCAATATTCTGCACTACTATGATTATGTCCCTAAACCCCACACACTGTATGTAGATGCCTTGTTTCTGGCAAGCAACCATTCTTTCCTCCTTCTGCCTAAGATTATGCTTTTCTTAGGGTACTTATTTATTTACAAAGGAAAAGACTACCTTTAAAAATAACAGAAATAAGGTTTCATTAGTTAAAAAAAAGGCATCTAAAAGACTTCTACCTAGCAATCAGACCAGAGGGCTCACAGCCTTTTAAATGATCCAAATTAGTTACTATTTCCTCAAGCAGATTGGTTGGCCATGATTTTCCCCCTAGGTCTCAGAACATTCTGTTTCTGTATGATTTAAAAAAAGAAAAGAGAAGGGTGTCTTGTCCTTTTGAATACTATCCTGATTCGGAATTAACATAGCCAGACACTGTGGACAAAATTCATACATCTGGGTCATACATCTGGGCCATTCCTAGCTAATCCAGAAAGCTCTTGATTAATGGTGTACTTTTCATGCTTTACCCATATCTTCTCTAGAGAAGTAGCTGTTATGTTTCTGCTTCGAGGAGATGATATCACATGGCTCTGGATACACTACTCCAAGAACCAACAGTACATAATTCCAAGCAGTATATAATGCTCAAATTGCACCAGAATGTATTCCCTCTCCAATCCCCAAAAGACCCTTCTTTTTTTTTCTTCCTTTTTTTTTTTTAAATCACTTCCTTACTACTGTGTTTCACATTATTATGGCTAGTTTTGGGGCTTAATTCTTTTGAGTTCTTAGTTTTATTTTACTTTAATCTTAAAATTAAGTAAATGCTCTCTATAAAATAAAGGAATCCAGTATTAAAAGTTCCCCTAGAAGAAACTCCATTAAGAAAAACTAGAGCAGTAAGTCATTATGTTCTTTCACATGTCACCCTCCAGGCCTGCAACTTGGCCATGCCCATTTTCTTTCTGCCCTTCTCCGTTGGTTGTATATTGTTTTTCCTTGTCAGACATCAGAGGAAGAGCAGGAGAGGGAAAGATGATTCATGAGCACTATATGCCAATGTCTTTGAAATAAACATGTTGAGAATGGGCAAAAGGCTCTTCTAAACATCTGCTTCCCCTTAGGTTTCAACAACAACTCCAAAGCTAGACTTTGGTTGGGACTGGAGAAAAGGTGGGCTTCAGTGACCCTCATCTATATCATGACTTGATGCTCCAGCATTAACTCTGGATGTGGGCTTAGTAGATTGCCAGGAATTCTAGGTGACTTTAGGAGAGTGGTATTGTCATGACACATTTTGCGGTAGTCAAGGAAACCATAAATTCACATGCATGCAATCCTACGTATAGATATACACACATACAGGCAGAATATAGAATGCTATGACATTAAGATAATTAAATAGACTAGAACAAATTGCAAGTAGGCATTGTTCTGTAGATCTCTGGCTTTAGAAAATGCATTCTAGCAGCTAAATGATGTCAATAATAAGCTACTGAAAGAGTGTAACTTACCCACCACCGGTGCCTCCATTTTTGCTGAAATGAGTTCGAGGTTCACTGGATGCCAGCTTCAAGAGCTCATTCCACTCTCGCTCCCACTCTTCTTCAGTATAAACTAACCCTGACTAAGGAAAAGGAAAGTGTATGTTTTAGGAGATGCAATTGAAGCAGATTGGCAGTGGCCACCTCAGCCCTAGCACTTGCTGAAGGGAATAGAGGCTGGTACAGCAGAATGGCTAGGGCACTGGGCTTGCAGTCCAGAAGATGTAGGTTCAAATTCTGCCTCTGATACTTTTGGGTTGTATGGCCCTAGGAAAGCATTTGCCATCTGTTTCTTCATCTGTCAAATGAGGGGTTTGGAGCTGATGGCTTCTAAGGTCCCTTTAAGTTCAAATCTATGATCCTGTAAAACTGCTATAGGAAGCAATTACAAACATTGCCTTTGGAATATCTTGGTCCATTTTGAAACACAGGCACTGGTAAAGGTAAAAGGGTCTTTGGTAGTGACTGCATGTTTATAGCTGTCTCTGTTTTATTTTTCTCCTTTGCTGCTGGTAAAATATTTTGTAAAAAAAAAAATCTTGAATCTACACTATTTGCTGCAAAGAGTTTTCAAGCAATAAGGAATCTGACCTTAGGCAGCCTTGAGGGCAGGATATGGTCTAATAATAACTCACAGGTTGTTCTAGTTTGAGGTATCTCATTAAATCTTAAATGGGTCCAAGATGGACTATGTTGAAATAATAAGCAGTTTCTTATTCTAGAAAAGTCAAATCCAGGTTCTACTATGAAATCACTCTGTATAACAGGAATAGAACATTTGGCATGACAACTGAATAACTCAGAATGGAAACAAACAGCTTTTCCCCAAGTTATAGTCCTTCTTGATTCTTTTCTCTAAGCCATCCAGTCTTTATATTTATATAATTCTTCTGGAGCAGGAAGGAGGTTTTTTTCCCTCTCTATTGTGCAGAAGGGGAAACTGAGGCCCACAGAGGGAAATCAATGTACCCAGGGCAACACAGCAAAGAGCCTCCTTACCTTGGAAGGGAACCCTGGCAATTATTTGGTTTTAAATGGCTATATTGCCTTGCCATAAAATATGTACAACTATAACAAGTGAGATAAATTCTGCCCATCCTTCCAATCTAGGTTTAAAAGCTGACCAGCAACAAAAAGACTAGCTAATATGTATGTAGTGCATTCTAATTTCTAAATAATTTGCTTGTAAATGGGAGTTCTTTGTAGAATTGGTTTCAAATCTTTTCTGGACAGAATCAGTATTTTGTTTTTTCTAAACTAGTGAATGAACTAAGAAGTCCCAAATGAGAGCATTTGGCAATGTGCTTTTTCATCTCTCTCTCCCTTCTTAAAGGAGTAGAGATTCTCTAATCACACTTCCTCTTATATTTTCATTTCATTTTCTACATTTTCTTCCATTTGAATATAAATTCCATGATGGCAGGGATCATGTCAACTTTTTTGTACCATTCCCTCTATTCTTCACACAATGTTTTGGACACAATATTTATAAAATGTTTCTTGAATGAATGAAAAACAAAATAAAAAATAATCCATCTTTGGACTGGTTTTAGGGAAACCTTTGTGTGGCCTTTTAGCCTTTAGAATAGGAAATGCTATTATCATTAACCAACAAAAATTATAATTTCACCAGCCGTAATTATAGTGTATAGGCCACCACGTGGTACAATGCATGGAGTGGCAGGCCTGGAGTCAGGAAGAGTTATCTTCTTAAGTCCAAATATGGCCTCAGACACTTACTAGCTGTGTGACCCTGGGCAAGTCAGTTAACCTTGTTTGCTTCAATTTCCTCAGCTGTAAAATGAGCTGGAGAAGGCAATGGCAAACCATTCTAGTGTCTTTGCTAAGAAAACCCCAAATAAGATGACAAAGAGTAAAAAACTACTGAAAATGACTCAACAACAATAATAATTACAGTGTATGTATAATGTGACTAATGTCCATAAGTTATTATAAATACATAAGGTAAGACCCCTTTCCATATCTTCCTTCTTTATAGATTTCATGGAATATTGATTTAGTCAGATTTTTTCACTGAAAGTAAATTATTTTAGTTGAAGGTTGCAAAAGTATTTATTAGTATTTTATTCATAAGGCTAATTGTTATTTTTTAAGCCTTCCTTTGATGTGCCAAGAGATCTTATTAGGGAAATTAAACAAATAACCCATTAAGTTAAGAAGGGCTATAAAAAACTCAGTTTATTAACTTGGTGATTATTGATAGTATTAACTAAGGCACATGCATACATACATACACACATACATACATACAAACATAGATGTATTCTTTCTAGCCCTCAAAAAGTCATGCCCAGTCAAAACCCAGTGATAATAATGATAGTAATCATAAAATACATCATTTTCCAGTGTTTTCTGCTTTCCTCCCAACAACTCTATGGAAGTATTATCATTCATATTTTCAGAGGAAGAAACATCAGAAACTTCTCAGTTTCAGAAGAGCTAAGTCACTTAAGTTACTCATTGAATAAAGGGCAGAACTAAGACTTGGGCCTTGGTCTTCTGAGAGAACAGAATTACTGAGTCTGGAATTCTTTACACTAAGCCGCATTGTACTCAATACATACTTGTTAAGGAAATTAATTTTTTTTTCGGGGAGATAACAAAAAGCGAAAATCTTATCCAAAACTAAGACACTAATTCCCTTAGTGATAATAGAATACTCTTTAGGGCATATGCCCTAAGGACCTCTCCAAGTAGGGAAGTTTTTAGTGCATTCACCCTAAGCCCATTGATTTTGGGGGGGGGAGGGGGCACTCCACACTGCTCACTTCTAGATAGTGACTCAGGGAGACTCTATCCAGGGAGGAGGTAGCTCTGGCAGCTGGTGCTAAGTATGACCCCAGGTACATAGGTATCAACTAAAACCATAAACTCTTCCACTGTCATAGTCCTAGGGCTGTTTCTATGTACTGTATACTCCTCAGACTCCTTTGTGAGTATCTTTCCCCCTTCAAAGCTGCCCTTGACTTAGCCTGTTATAAAAACGTTGGCAGGGGAGGGCCCGCACACAGTAGGATTTGTCATGGTTCCTGCACTCTACTCAGGGATAGTCTCATTCACTAAGCAAGAAGAAGGAAAACTAAGAACCTGAGAGCTGCTCCCCCCCAAAAAAAGTGCATGTGTGTGGGGACTCTTCCAAAGCTTGCTCAGGTAGAAAACACAAGGGGAAAGTGGAGAAAGTACCTGGCTTTAGAGGAAATAATTGGTGGAATGCAAATACCTCCTATGGACCAGAGAATTTACTGCCCAACAAGGTTCCAAGTTGAAGAATCAGAATAATTCAAGGTTCCCTTTCAGATCTGTAACCAATTGGTCACTTGGCTCTTTCCAGCTGGACAGAGGTAAAAAAAAAGTGGCTGAGATTTATCATTTCTAGTCTAAACAAAAAGGTCAAAGATGGCAGTGAGACGCAGCTCTCCTGGGGGATGTGCTTCCCAACAGTTTCTCCATTACCCACTAAGAACTCTGGAGCAGCTGGCAGGGCTGCCCTGAAATTTACCTCCTTTTGCCAGAGGCTCTTCTTGCTCTTGACATTTCTGTTGTGGTGTTTGAACATGTTCTCTCCTCGGTGCGTTGAAACTGAAGCTTTAATATTCTACTGCAGCAATTTTAGCTTGGCACCCACAAAGATGGAACACTGACTTATGTGACCAGCCCCTGGGGCCCGTATTCTGAGCTCCATTACACCCAGCCCTGCTGCCAGTCAGGAAGACATGAATTGGCTGTCACTCATGGCTTACTGGATGGTAAGATTAGGGCCAGGGTTTTAAAAACATGTCAGTGAGTACAAACCTCCTTATTCTGCTGGGTCTGTTGCCACCTCCACCTCCGCTTCAATGCTTCCCTTTCGGCTCCACTCCTCATCATGGTGTAGAGAGCCTTCCGCAAAACCAGGTCCCGGTCATGAAATCCCCACATGCCTATGGAGCAGAGGTATACTTGTGATGAGGGGGGCAGAGAGTGGGAAATGAAGAAGGAGCTGCAAAAACTATTAAGATCATGCCCAACACAGCCTTCCTATTTCTGCAGGGATAAAAACAATTTTGTTAATTAATTGCCAAATTCTCCTCATTAGCTAATGATTCTCTTTCATTATTTCTAAGCTCTCCTAATGGAACCCATTAGTGTAAACAGACTAATGAAGAAAAATGTGACCTTTTAAGCGAGCTGATAGCCTAGCTTAAAAAACAACAACAAAAATCTATCACCACCTCAGTCTCTATGAATCTATTGGCAACTAGCTCTCAGCTGACTTCAGCTTTACTACAAGGAACCAAATAGGTCTTGGGTTTAGCTTAGAAATAACATTTGTGCTGTGTAGGTATGAGGAGGAATTGGAGATAACAATAGACCCCTTTGGACATCACTGAACCAATGACATTTACTCTCATAAGTTTTCAAGTACAGCCAATGAGAACAGCAATGGAGCAAAGTTTTAATCAAGAGAATAACATGGCTGATGACAAGAGTCCTAACGATAGGGGTGTCTGTTTCCCATGGGCATCTGCTTGCCCCTAGGAGTAGGTTTTATAGTAATCAACAAGGTCTCAGTCTACCAGGCTAAGTACATATTCAGGGCCATAGAAAATTTTGAGCGTTGAGGTGGCAGCAGTTGTTCTCTGAGAAACAGGCCTTGGATTGACCCTTAGCATACACAAATGATGTATAAAGGAACCAAGATTTTGTTGGCATAGGGAACCACAGGCACGGGAATTCTAACTTGTCTGTGACCCAATAGATATTCCTCGGAAACTGGGCACTTGAGGTTAAGTGACTTGCCAGTAAGTAACAGAGGCATGATTTAAATAGTGAGCTCCTTTATTCCAAGCTCACTGTTCTATCTACTATGCTGCACTGATTCTACTCTTGATAGTGTATCTGGTACAAATAAAACAGCCTATCTGTATACTCCTTTAAAATTAATTGGATCTGTCACATGGGTTCTCCTTTAACAATCCTGGTCATTTGTCACTTTGATATTTCAACATGAAAAGAAAACAAACCATTCAAAATAAAAAACGGTCATGAACTTGAGGCAGCATTACTCTATATAGATTTTCCTGGGACCTGCTGTACTTCCTGGTGATCAATGCACCAATCTTTCTCAATGTAAAACCTTCCATTATAATTGAAACTAAGTCCTAACTCCCATTCTCTTACTAACCACTTCACTTTCTCTCTCTCCCTTCCCCCACCATGTTGGCCCTTGCTTCCAAGTGACCAGGGGCACAAGAGCTCTATTCACTTTGAGTAGTATGTCCAGTAGGATGTCCAGAGGATGCTTAATACAAAGCAAACTGGAATAATCAGAGGCAAAGTCCATCAACCAATCCAATCTGTGCCCTAGTCCACATGAGACCTAAGGGGAAGTGGATAAGGTCACCTGTAGTTTCCACCTTGAGCTCAAGACAAAGCATTATGTCTATAGCTTCACATTGATGTGATGGTTTTGTGGGAAAGAGAGCTTTCTTTAATGAAATTCTATGTTGGATCAAAAATTACTGTCCTTAATAATGTCTCTCACATCTATGTTCCATTTTCATTGTAATTACTGTAGACTAGGCTCTCATCATTTCAGGCCTAGACATGCTCAAGTCTCCTAAATGGATTTGTCACTCCCAGTTTCTCTCTGACCTCTTCGATCTATTTTTCAGTGTTGACAACTAACCTTCCAAAGACTGCTCCGCCACGACCTTAAATCTTTTCCTGTTGCCTGAAGATGAAATGCTAATTCAATTGACCGATACTTACTAAGTGCCTGTTATATGCAAAGAAATGTGGTAAGGGATCCAAAGACAATAATGACATAATTTTCTTTGAAGAACTTACATTTTCTATTGGGGGTAGGAAGAATGTAAACATAGAAGATACATGTCAGCATAATATAAGGTAGGGTTTCTATTATGTGCATACATGTAAGTATATTAAAAGGTAGAGTATATGTATGTGTGTGTGTGTGTGTGTGTGTGTGTGTGTGTGTATTATCTAAATCTAAATATAAGGTAGGGAATGATGGGGAAAAGAATGTAACTAAACCAACTGCCTCAGGAAAATGTGAGGAGAGAAAACATTGAAAGGTGAAAACAGAGGGGAAGAGTCCAAGGGTTCACAGAGAAGGACATACTTGAGTTGGATCTTGAAGAAAGATGTGGATTTGGAAAAGCCAAGATGAGGAAGAAGTGCATTCCTGGCAATGGAGGCCCAATGCAAACACGTAGAAGCAGATGATAGCATCTTGAATTCAAGGAATAGGTTGCTTGGGATTTTTTGAAGAAGAGCCTAATTTAAAAAAAGTTTGGCAAGATGGTGGAGTACAGGCTGGGATACAAATGAATTCTTCCAATATTCCTGTCCAAACAACTTTGAAATAATGCCCTCCAGGGCCAACGAAAGATCCAAAAGAGATATTTTTCCAGCCTAAGACAACTTAAGAGGTCCACAGGAGAGATCTGTAACACTTCAGTGGGTGCAGGCCCTGAGCATGGCAGGAGCATCAGCAGTAGGTCTTGAAGGTACTATAAAAGTAGCACCAGCAGCTTCTGAAGCTCTCAGCTCAGAGATGGTAAGGAGGGTTTTGGTCAGAAAGAGATTACAGAGGACCCTTTGCTGGCATTAGTTGCAGCTGGTGCTGACTGCCAACTCTATTACCCATAAGCAAATTTTGAATCCTAGTTCCAGGACAGAGAGGAATGTTTATGATCCATTACAGGGGAGCAGGGGCCCTGGTCACAGTTCCAGGGCCAAGAAGAACACTAGCACTTACAGCTACATGATAGCAGGGGATTTGGTCACAGTTCCAGAGCTAAGAGGGACACTATACTTGAGGCTGCAGGGGGGCAGGGGCCCTTCTTGGGTAAAGACCAGAGCACAGACCAGGAAAGCAGTGACCACACCTCTCCCAGGACAGCATCACCTTGGGAGCACTGAAAACTTGCCAACCCCTCAAAACTAGCTCTGAAAACAGTAGCATGAAAACAAATATGAGGCTTGGCACAGCACCTCCCCACCCTGAGATGAACAAAGTTCACCTTTAACATAAAGTTCAAAGTAAAGCTATGGACTGGGAAAATAAACAAACCACAAAAAAAAGAACTTGACCATAAAAAGCTAGTATGGTGGCAGGAAGACCAAAATACAAACTTAGAAGAAGACAACAATGTGAAAACAAACACCAAGCAAAGCTTCACAGAAAATGCTGATTGGAGCCAAGGCCAGCAAGAATTCCTGGGAGACCTAAAGAAAGAAATGAGTGGTAGAGGAAAAATAGGGGAAAAAATGAGATTGATGCAAGAAAATTGCACCAAATAATACTGAAGAAAATATCCTCTCAAAAAACAGAATTGGCCTAATGATAAAACAGGCACAAACATTAACTGAAAAAAAGAACTCCTTTAACAGCAGAATGGGCCAAATAGAAAACGAGGCAGAAAAACTCACTGAAGAAAATGATTCCTTGGAAATTAGAATTGGCCAAGTGGAAGTTAATGACTTCGAGACAAAAAAAAACAAAATCAAAATGATGAAAAAAGGAGAAAATGTGAGATACATTGTTGGAAAAAGTGACTAGTAAAATAGACCACAGAGAGACAATTAAGGAATTATTGGACTACCTGAAAACCATGATCAAATAAAAGCCTCAGCATCATTTTTCAAGAAATTATCAAAAAATTGCCCTGATATCCTAGAACTAGAGGGTGAAATATAAATTGAAAGAATCTACCAATCACCTCCTTGAAAGAGATCCCAAAATGAAAATTCCCAGGAATATGATAGCCAAAGCTTCCAGGTGTAGGAGAAAACATTGCAAGCAGCCAGAAAAAAACAATTCAAATATCATGGAGCCACAGTCAGGATAACACAAGATTTAGCAGCTTTCACATTAAAGAAGCAGAGGTCTTGGAATATGATATTCCAGAGGGCAAAGAAGCTAGGATTACAATCAAGAATAACCTACCTGAAAAAAAATTGAGCATAATTGTTCGGGCGGGGGGGGAACATGTATTTATGAAACAGAGGACTTCCAAGCATTCCTGACCAAAAGACCAGAACTGAATAGAAAATTTGACATTCAAGCAGGAGACTCAAGAGAAGCACAAAAAGGTAAACATTAAAGAAGAATCAAAAGGTCCTTAATAAGGTTAGACTGTTTACGTCCGTATGTGGGAGAATGATACCTGTAATTCCTAAGAACTTTATCATTATTAGGGCAGTTAGAAGGAGTCAGCATAAACAGAGGGCATGGGGTGAGTTGATTATGTTAGGATGATCTCCAAAACAAAAAATGGAGAGGTGAGAAAGAGGGATGCACTGGGAGAAGGTGGAAGGGAAAGGTAGAATGGTGCGAATTTTCTCATATAAAAGAAGAGCTTTTATAATGGAGGGGGAAATGGGCGGGGTGGGCAATGCTTGAACCTCAGTCTCATTGGAATTGATTCAAAGAAAGAAGAATACATACAACCTCAGTTGGATATTGAAATCTATCCCAATAGGGAGACAGGAGGGGAAGGGGATAAGAAATATGTGGGAAGAGATTATAGGAGGGTAGGAGGATTGGGGGAAGCAGTTGTCAGAAGCAAGACAGGCTTTTGAGGAGGAACAGGATAAAAAGAGAGAAAGAAGGATAAACAGAGTAAAATGAGATGGAGAGAAATGCACGGTTATTGATTATATCAATTATATCTGTGAACGTGAATGGGATGAGCTAAGTTAGCTCATAGAAGAGAAGGAGATAGCAGAATGAACTGGAAAACAGAATCCAACAATATGTTGTATACAAGAGACACACTTGGGACAGAAGGACCTACAAAGAATCAAAATGAAAGGCTAGAGCAGAATCTATTGCGCCTCAGCTGAAGTGAAGAGGGCAGGGGTGGTAATCTTGATCTCAGACAAAGCAAAAGCAAAATTAGACAGGTTTGAAAGCAATAATCAGGGAAACTTCATTTTGCTAAAAGGTCATACATAATGAAGTAATGTCAAAAAGTTTTACAGCATGTTTTTCTGACAAAAGGACTCATTTCTCAAATATATAGGGAACTGAGTCATAATTATAAAAATAGGAGCCATTTCCCCATTGATAAATGCTCAAAGGATATGAATAGGCAGTTTTCAGAAGAAGATATTAAAACTATATATAGTCATATGAAAAAATGCTCTAAATCACTATTGATTAAATATAAATTAAAACAACTTTGGGGTACCACCTTATACCTATCAGAAATGACAAATGCTGCAGGGGATGAGGGAAAAATAGGTATGTTAATGAATTGTTGGTGGAGTAGTGAACTGGTCCAACCATTCTAAAGAACAATCTGGAATTGTGCTTAAAGGGATAAACTGTGCATATCTTTTGATACAGTAATGCCACTACTAAGTCTGTACCCCAAAAGAGACCAAAGAAAAAGGAAAAGGACATATATGTACAAAAATATTTATAGCAGTTCTTTTTGTGGCAACAAAGAATTGGAAATTGAGGGGATATTCTTAATTGGGAAATGGCTCAACAAATTGTGGTATATGATTGTGATGGAGTACTATTGTGCTATAGGAAATGATGAGGGGGGTGGTTTCAGAAACAAACAAACAAACATAAGATCTATATGAACTGATGGTGCAAAGTGAAGTAAGAAAAGCCAGGAGATAACTGTGGACAGTAACAGTAATGTTGTAACGATGATCAACTGTGATCAAGACAATGATCCAAGACAATTCCAAAGGACCCATGATAAAAAAAAATGCTATCCAGCTCCAGAGATAGAACTGATGAACACTGAGTGCAGATTTAAGTCTAAGCTGCTCATTTTTAATTTTTTTTGCTTTTGTTGTATAATATGGCTAATATATTTTGCATGGTTTCATATGTATAATTGCTATCAAATTGTTTCCTTTCTCAGTGGGAAGGTGGGTGAGAGGGAGATTAATGGAACTCAAAATTTAAAAAGAAGAGAATATTAAAACGAATAAATAATAAATATTTTTTAAAAGTTTGGAAAGGTAGGCTGGAGCCAGATTGTGAAGACTGAGAATGCTGAGAGTATTTGCGTTTTTAGAACCAATAGGGAATTACCAATTTTTATTTTCAATCAATAGAGCAACACAGTCAAGTTTGTACCTATAAGGAGATTATTTTGGCAACTGTGTTAAAGATGGATTGGAGAGGACAGAAATGAGAGGCACTCCAAACAAACTCCTTAACCTGGTATGCAGAGCCTTCCATAGCCTGCTGTCCCAAATTACCTTTCAAATATTATCTCCCACCATCTATTCACCAGCACAAATAATCCATTCCAACCAAACTGGTCTACTTATCTTCCGTTAAATATTTCAGGTGTATTCTTGAATCTACACTGTGTTCATATTGTTTCCCCACATGATATACCTTACTTCTTTCTTGCCACTAAGTCTTAATCATCATCCAAAGGTCATTCCAAATTGTACATCTACTATGCCTTCACTAGACTTCTCATAACTCTTTATTGTATTTGTGTAATATTTTCTTTTAGTAAAGAAACTGGCATGTTTGGGAAATCTACAGATCTCTGCCCTTATTGGACTCACCTAGTGAGGCAGCATGTAAGAGGCAGTTTCCATCCCCTGTTGTTGCCAATGGAAGAAGACGCTTGCAACTTGTACACACTGTTGACCACCAGTTCAGACGACCTGAAAGGGAAACTTACTTTATTGACAATGCAAATTCCAAGAAGCGGCATTGTGATGTTAGTATGGCTCATACATTCCCTATGATGTCAAAGAAAACCAGTAGGTGTTTACTAGTTAAAAGTTTCACAAAAAGAACTTTGGTTCATGATTATAGAAAGACTCATCTAACTTCTTAAGTAAAATTTAGGGTTTTTTTTCCCTTTAAGAAAAGGATGAGCTAAATTTGGCTTTCAATAAGCAAAAAGGTTAGGAAAATTTGAGTCAGCTTCTCTTCTATTGTGTGACTCTCAGTTATTTAGTCAGTAATTCAAAATGACCTTTTAGGGACCAAAAAAATCTTCCTTATTAGTCCACAGGTGTTTTGTATGTAGCTTTTGCTTCTAAATGCTACTTTTTTAATCCTAATTTTTCTTATTCATCATTTTTAATTAATACATATTTATTTATAAAAGTCTATTCCAGGGCAAATCTATTGAAAACATTATTCCACCTTTGCCTTAGTTTTCTACCCTAAAGCTGACATATCATGCTTGATTTTCAGCTTCTCATGACAACTAACAGAAAATATTTGAAAACTGCTTTGAGTGACTGAGAAAAGGGTATAAGTCTTCAAAGAGAAATATAACTTATTAGGCTTTCCCCTAAATATTTGGAAATAAGTGTTTTCATATTACTTTTCATAATTGAATGCATGTAAGACCTCTCAGACTGAGTAACATCTTCTGTAAAATGGAAGTATTGTTCTAGATGGTTTCTAAATTTCTATAATCTAGCTAATCTGATGCATTCTTGTAAATAGGCCAAGATTACAATTTATTCTCTATCTTGTGTAATAGGTATCAAATATTGTTAAGGCTGGTATGTTAACATAGCTATTTTTAAATTTCTCAATGCAGGCAAAGAAAAAGTGCAACAGAAAATCACTATTAATGACTGCATATTTTTGATTTGGGTAATACAATTTAGCAATCAACTTTTCAGGCATTTGATTTTGTAAATTACAATTCAGTCAGTAATCAATGGTTAAACCCCTTCACAAACATTAAAAAACCTGTTCTTGATTTTCCTTTTTTTGATACAAAGAAATAATACTTAATGAGACTAGAAACACTGGGAGCAGCCATATTTAGCTACCCATATGCCATTTATCATCTTTATATGTTTTGTGAAAAAATAAGAGAAATGTTATCATTTTTAGAACACTAGAAAGGAGTCATGAAAATATGTACAAGAACAACAGGTCATGGCTAAAGAATAAAAAGGCCTCTCCAAAACAAATTTAATTTAGAATTAATGAGACAGTTACTGACTCTTAAATTACTGTATTAATAAAAAATTAATGTATAAAATTTCACCAGTGTATCTGGTATACCAAATATCTGATTACTCTGTGGATTTTCTTGGTAAGACTCAATATATGAATTTTAATAATAAAAATTTTAATACAAAAAGCAACTTGTCCCATTAACAATAAATTAAAGATTGACATTAATGGGTGAAATAGTCATATACATGTTGTGCCAGGTAGCTGATAATCTTCACACATTTCTAATAATCAGTTGGTACCCCTCTCATAATTCACAACAGGTCTTACTGAATTGAAATTAGATGTGCATTTTAGAGCCTTGATTTAAAGTGCTACTGAATGGCCTTTGGGAGACACATAATTGGAAATAACATGTGATCATTTTTAGCAACTCTTCTGTCTTCAGGCTGTGAAATAACAACCTGTCACCTGCCTTTTGCAGAATATTTTTAAAAATAATAATCCAAGCTGGAAGAAGCTAAAACTGGGTTACCATTTCAAGTAGAAGACTGAGGCTCACATGATCCCAGCTGATGACACTCAAATGACCCACTAACAAAGAAAGACCTAAGCAACCAAAGCTAACCTTGGGTTAGTCTACATGCTCAGAATTTGCTGCTGGCTCGTAGAACATGCTGCCACTGAGTCAAAAGCCCCGATCTCAAAGCTCAAGTTCCTGTCATTACTAGCCTATCATGGAAGTTCTTTTAGTATTGGACTTTTTGTCTTAATAATGGGAAGTCATATGCATTCAAATAAAATTCTACATATTGAAATCTTCAGGCAGATGAAGGCTGTGGCTTTTTGCAACTCTGCAAGGAGGCTGGGGCCTTCAAAACCAAAAATATCTACGCAAGAGGGAGCTCATAACTAACAAATGTCCTAATGCTGGATGCTGTGTGGGCAAGTTGAGAAGTCTGCAGCCTGTGGGCATGTCAATGTATGTGCTATTTTTAAAATTCAAAAAATGTGCCCAAATACAGTGTCAAAGTGGGTCATCTATTCAAGCCTGGAGAAATATCTCAGGCGGGGGGACTGAGAGTCCGAGGGTTCCTCTCCTATGTATCTTTGTAGCTGCATATCCTTGGGCGAGTTATTTATCATTGTGGTGACACATGGAAGAAAAAGAAAAACAGGATTCTTCTGGACTGGATCACATGGTCGTTTGCAGCATGCAAACATGATTCTGCAAATCCTTTCTCCTACTCCATTATGTATTCATTGGATTTTTCAAAATTGTTGTTCTTTTAGTGACTGTCCTTGCTAATATGTAATACACTGAATGTTCATGGAAATATAACAAATAGCTTTTTATAAGAATCATGATTCTCTTACTTTGTATTTATGTGAAAATGCTATAGTCCTCTGCCAGGGGTCCTTAATCTGGGGATCTAAGAATTTTAAAAATATATTTTGATATATTTTCAGTAAAATTGCTTTCCTTTGTAGTCCCATGTATTTTATGTTATGCATTTAAAAATACTATTCTGAGCAGCACATAGGCTTCACCAGACTGCCAAAAGGGTCCATGATCCAAAACATATTAAGAATTCTTACCCTAGTAGACTATAACCTCACTGTCACATAGTGGACTATAACCTCACAAGTCCCAGCACTTAACATAGGGTCTGGTACATAGTAAGAGCTTAATAAATGTTTGTTGATTATCCTAATTGATTTGAATTAGGGCAGAATCTGCCAAAGAAGAGAAAAGTGCTATTGGATTCTATCAAATTGGCACTATACTGCTCTCTCTGCAAATCCATGACACTTTCTCTACTGAGCTCAGTTCTACATTGTTAAGCTGATTTGATGTCTCTGTCTTGTCCTCTCCTTCAAATGACCTGTTATACCAAAGATCTATTGCTCCTTCCTCCTTCTTCCTCCAAATCATAGACCCTCACATCTGCAGAGAAATCTTAGACATCATAACAGTCTTAACTCTCTCATTTTACTGGTGAGGAAACTGAGTTGCTCTGGAATAGATATCACTACTTCACAAAAAGGTACATACATCTAGGTATTTCTATTAAGCAATTAATACCTTTTTCTTTCTTCTGGAATTCCAAGCTTTTCTGGTGACACTAAGCCATGCCACAACAAGAATTCCAGTCTCACTCAGAAAAGACTTTTGGTCTTTGATGCCTTATATTCATAATAAGTCAATTTACAATTTTCCCTTTTTTCTCCCAAATTTAACAAAAAAAATTTATTAAGCTCCTATTTTGTTGCAGTTTTGTGCCTAAAGAGGCCTTGGTGAGGATAAAGAGAATTCCAGGCATTGGGCTGGGGTGGAGGTGGACGGGCTATCCAAGGACACACCACAAGTAGTTCAATTTAGCTGGTATATAGAGTAGATACAGTCCAGTCACATAATGGATAGAGCACTGGGGCTGAAGTCAGGAGGACTTGATTTCAAATCTGGCCTCAGACATATTGCTTGTGTGACCCTGAGCAAGCCATTTAATCCATTTGCCTCAGTTTCCTCATCTGTAAAATGGAGAAAGTCACACCATGTACTTCAGAAGATTGTTAAAAGGATCAAACAAGATAATATTTCTTAAGTGCTCTGCAAAACTTAAAGCGTTATGCAAATGCTAGCTATGTTTATTATTAATATTATTATGATGCTAAAGAATAATGTATAATCAACCTCCCACATAGGCTAGAGTCAGATTATGAAAAGCTTTATTCCTCATGGAGTATAGTACCTATTTTGAATTTCCTCTTCTACACAGTTCCTACAGGCATTTTACAATTTTCAAAATATTTCTCCAAGCCTCTGTGAAGTTGCAGAATCATTATTATGATCCTATTTATGGGAAAACTGAGACTCAGACATTTTAAGTGATTTGGTGTAAGTTAAACAGTGGTATAGCCAGGCAGAAGTTTTGATACTCATTCTAGTGTTATTTTCATAATATTATGTTGTCATACCCATCTTAGGGGGCAATATATAAACCTAAATGGAATGATATCTTCCTCTCTTTCTCCCCCTCTGCTCATGGTCTATTATCTTGTAATCTATACCACTTTCTACCACTCATAAGACACATCATAAACTGCCTCATATTGTAGATAGCTCTGTCTGTGTCTTATTTCTCCTATTAGATTATATACTTCTTGAGGGAGCTGGGGCTGGATCTTAAACTTTTAAAATACCCTTAACAGTACCTTACTTATAGTAGTGCTCAACGAATATGAGATGGGAAGTGAATGGGATTCGACACACTTTTGTTTCAGATAATTTTGTTGGAGGCAGTATGGAACAGAAACTAGAGTATTAGAACTTGGAATCAGGAATACCTGGGTCAAAACTCTTCCTGTTACCCTGGCTCCTATCTCAAGTCTTAACTTTTAACCTCTATATGCCTCAAGCAATTCCCTGGAATTCATGTAATAGGTCATAAACAGGTTGTAGATCTATGATCTGTGTTAGTGGAGGGACTTACATATCCTAATGAGAGCACAGATCCTTCCTATATTCATATACCCATTAGTCAAATTACAACAGAGTATTGGTAAGGCTGGAAGCAATCTGATTCCTTCTTGGGCCAAAGAAGATCTAGATGTTCCCTGTTTAAGCATAGGCCAAGCATATGGCCAAGTATGAGAACATAGCAAATTACTGTTAATTTTCAGTGCTAGAAATGTTCCCAAATTCCAGATATACTCATGAGGAAGAAAGTTTATT